GCTTCTCAACTGGTAGCAATCTTGCACCTGTTAGGCTCTATGTGGTCGCTGGAGAAGCATCGGGTGATGCTATCGGCGCCAAAGTTATTCGTGCGTTACAGAGACATCAACCGCCTCGAAGTCTTGAAATCCGAGGAATCGGAGGGTACGATACGCTAAAAGTATTTTTTATTTTTATGGCGTCGCTAACTGTAGCGATACTGTGCTGTGGATAATGTAGACCACTGATGTCTAAAGCTGGTGCATTTGAATCGCTCTTCCCGATGCAAGAGCTGTCGGTTATGGGACTACTAGAAGTGGTGCCGCACATTTGGCGGTTCCAGGTTAGTCATCATGGAGGTTGTACGGGGAAATGTAAAGCACTAAGATTGATGTAACTGACGCAGCGACGGATTCACGATACGCTGCGTGATATCGAGAATTACCAACCCGAGTTGATCCTTACAATTGACTCAAAAGGATTCACTTTTCGAGTGTTGAAGGCACTGCAAGCGAGTGAGCAGAAGAGCGGTGGCAAACGCATAAAGAAGGTTCACTACGTTGCGCCGTCCGTTTGGGCTTACAAGCACCGAGGCAAGCGGGATTTTACCGAGTTGAAGCAGCTTCTAGATGCCATGTTCACGATCTTACCCTTCGAGGAAGACATTTTTAACGCGGGGGAGGAGATACAGAGTCCGGACAATAAAGGTCGAACCTGGTGTCATTTTGTGGGGCACCCAGCGGTCGAAGACTTTCTGGAAATTAATGGGGTCTACGAGAGCGGTGCAACTAAATCGTTGGACTGTACTCTCGACAGTGATATTGAAACAGGAGCGGATGGGTTACTTAGTTTTTCAAAGTATGAAAGGAGCAATTTGTTGGCGCGTGGGCGACTGCTTCAAGATTTAGCGGCAATTGGGCGTGAGCCAAGTGCTAGAACCCGTGTCAGAGAAAACTTTGGGATTTCTAAAGATGCGTTCGTGATCTGTGCGCTTGTTGGAAGGTAAATTAGCCTGTATGCCCTTCCGTCATTACAGTTAGGAGTAATTACTCGTAACGTGCTGCTCATGTTGTTTTTTTTTTTACAGTCGGGTGAACGAAGTGAAGAAATCCTTGCAACTCGTACTCGAGGCCATTGCGAAATTTAAGGAAGCAAAGAGTCAGCAGCAACAGGTGAGGTTTTTGTAAGTGTACAGTAGCAACGTAACCTCTTACTTACCTACTTGACTGTCTAGATCTTCGTCGTGTTTCCCACTATTTCTGCTGTGGAGCAGCAGGTCAAAAATCATATTAATACAGCTGCTCCTGAGGTGAAGTGGCGTGTTTTAACTGACCTTGCAACAGAAGAACGATTTCGGCTTTTCCAGGTGACGAGTGGATCGGACTGTGCATCATTATACACATTTCTGAAGCTAATTGCACTTACCCCTGTCGATTTACAGAGCTCCGATGCAGCGGTGGCCGTGTCCGGAACGATCGTGCTCGAAACAACTCTAGCGAATCTCCCGACTGTCGTTATCTACCGTGCCAACCGGTTGACCGAGTGGATTGCTAAGCGACTAGCTGCCGTCCGATTTGTCTCGATTCCCAACATCTTGCTTGGAAGACCACTCATTCCAGAATTGCTTTTCAGTGATTGCGCTGCTCCGAAGATTGCTGAGACGTTGAGGTGAGTGGATTGGTTTTTGCTTTAGTCTATCTCATAGCTAATACTTGTACGTTTGTACCTGTGAAATAGAGTATTACTGCATCAGAAAACTAAAGAAAAGGATGCACTACAACTGACAAGGGCACTCAGCACTTTGACAAAATGGCAAGAGACGACGGAGAATAAACTGAAACCTATTCGAGCAAGCGACCTAGTTGCAAAGCGCATTCTAAATGTGCTGACGGATAAATAGACTCGAGTTTTATTGAAAACGCATTTTATTGTTTTCGTTCATAGTACAGTTCAAATTCTAAAAAAATAAATTAGAATTACTTTGAAGTATATGACATTCGAGCGAGTGATGTAACGTACCATTGAGCCAGCGCAAATACTATTTAACTCAAGATAACACCTGCATTCCCCACTTGTGCAATCGCCAGCATCGAGACATACAAGGAGCACACATTTCAGCAAAATAGTGATCAGTTTTCGTTTC